CCCCACACACACACATACATCACGCACAAAAAAAAGAGCCTTAATTTCTTTTTCTTTTTGTATTGTTTAGTTTAAACCACATTTTATTTATACGGACAAACCCCTCCCCTCTCCCTTAATTAATAGTAGGCCTTCCATATATTTATATTTCATGTACGCTGCAGTTTAGAATCTCTCTAGTAGTATTAATATACTGTAATAGACTATGTACTATGTGCTATTCATTATAATTTTGAGCATTTTTAGTAAAATAATTTTAAAAATCTGACTTTATGCACGCATTGGTTACAATCATAACCTTCTCAATATAGTTTTTTTTTCTCGCGCATTTTGTTATACAAGTCTAGGCCTAATGTTTTGAATATGGACCAAAGCAGGTGAGGGTGGGGTCGATTTAGGCCTATTCTATTTGTTCAATGGGCAGACAATCGACCCAGAACTCGGGAAATCTCGCTGTCATGACGAGATTGTAATGTATTGTATTGTGTCAAGATGGCGACGTCTTGGAAGTTGGTTGCGTTGGCACTTGGACTATGCATTATGCATCGGAGTTTGGTGTCTGCAAACACTTATAAAGAAGGAGACAAGGTATTGTATTGAAAGATTTAATTATAATGCTCACAGTAATGAGTGCAGACCCTCTCCTGTCTGCAAGCGATACTCTAAATCGCAACAGATCTGATCTACTCTACCGTAGACTTACTTTAGTCCGCTCATTTTTTTCTCTCTATTTAGACTTAGAAATTCTAGATTTTCTAGATCTAGCCATGTAGATCTTGTTATAATTCTTTCTCTATGACATGTAGTTAGGCCTATACCAAACAAGTAGGGCCTACTTGAGCTTGCTTGCTAGATCTACTCTGTTTCTTGTCTCGACTCTAGAACTTTCATCTTTTTGTGGTTATTTGACAAGGTTTACAAGTGTTAAATTGTCTTGTCTCTGCAAGTTTCGTTACTCTATTTTGTTTTTGGGAAACCCCCTTTCCGTTTTCTTGCCAGGACCAAGATCAAGAATCAAGAGACATAAGACCTCAAATAAATTCTGCATTGTCGGTCATTAGGCTACACGCAATGAACAATGCAATCGAAATTTATTAAAGTAAGTGTCTGGGATGGTCATTCATGTGAGGAGGAGAAAATTGGCCGTCTTAGGCCTAGACAGATCTTAAATCTTTCTTTTTCTATGTGTTCCCCTGCTAAATCTCGGGGAGAGTTGACTGCTGGTTCTTCAACCTGAAGTAGAGCTGGATCGTGGTCGCCAAATCTGAGAGTGGCGATTCGCGGTTGTCTTCTTCGAAGAATTGCGAGCTCGCTAGCTCTCATGGAACACTAACTGTTTGGTGAAACTCTTGCCTGGGGCTCGTATTTCTGAAACAGAACAGTAGGCTATCATATCAACGCCACTTCGCGAGCGTTTGTTGTCCCGCAATCCTCTGCGCCCCCACCCTAGTTGCGATGCTCGCCGGCTCGATCCCTTCTGCCCATTGGTTGGAACCTGTCCATTTTGTTGCCCAGGAGTAGCATTAGTAAGGGTGCAGAAAGAGTCAGGAGCCCACAGGAGGGGGGGGGGGGGGGGAGGGGGAAGAAAGTGGAGATGAAAGCAGACCACAGAACAAAGTTAGAGAGCAGGAGGAAAGAAGGTTCAAAAGGAGACAACATGGAGTTTAGAAAGAAAATTTTCCATCACTGTCAGGTTTTGAATCTGGGACCTATTGAATGAGGCGAACATGATAACCTCAGGACCACAGAGTGATCTCTAAGCCCATTCTTGTCCTGAATAAAAAAGTTATGGAATGGTTCAGAATTCTATTAAATTATAATAAGTTAACATGATGTGTTTTTTGTTCCAGGTGCTTGTCTATGTAAACAAAGTGGGCCCCTACTTCAATCCACATGAGACATATCATTACTACCAGTTGCCAGTGTGCAGGCCGCAAAAGGTAAACATATTTTTTCACTTTGAATCAGTGTTGGCTTCTCGTTAGTACATTATAATGTGTTTTATGTCTTTGATACAATTTAAGGCACTTTTTTTGCTTGTAACATTATTCTGTTAATGTGTCCTTTTTTCTTCTTTCTTTTATTAAAAACTTTCTTTCTTTGAGTTCTTTTTCTTTCTTTACAATTTCTTTTTCTATCTTTGTGGAGAATAATCTTTAAAATTGCTTTGCTCTTATTTTCAGCCAGTGCTGTGCTAATGTTTAAAAGTTTCACTGTAATCTTTGCCTCTGGTCTTTGATTTTCATCTTTATTGTAATCGAGGAGGGCAAAGTGAGGACATTATAATGTTTATGTGTTTGTGAGTCATAATATATGAGGCACTGAGGTGAATTGAGGTGCTCGTCGAAATACTGAGATCTAAACAGGCATTTTTCCGTTCGTTTGGAAATTTTTAGTTGTTTTTTTTTCCGCTCAACATCCTGTATATCCATGATAATATTTAAAAATGCATAAATAACTGTGTGAATTTGCCTGAAAAACGTTGTTTTTTCAGATTTGTATTGCTTTTGGGAGGCCAACATTTTGTTCAGAGTGCAGCATGTTGATTTTCAGCAGCTTGATCGAGCAAAGTGATTGAATCATGTTTCTAATTTTTGTTTTTGATTGGCACCTTTTTTGTTGTATTTTTAGATTGAACATAAGAGTCTTACCCTTGGGGAGGTGCTGGATGGCGACAGAATGGCAGAGTCTTTGTATGACATTCAGTTCAGAGGTCAGTACATTTCTCCTGTCCCCAAGAATTTGTTCAAAGAGTGAAAAAGAAAAAAATTTCACTGAGTCTCATTTTATGAAATGCAAGGGTTATATTTTTGTGACGTAATAATAATTAACATTTTTTTACACCCTCCATCAACACAATTTAGGTCACTTTTATGTGGCATGCTTCTTCTACTTTGCCTGTTGAGACCTATATATAGCGCGACCTCAGTGCTTTCTTGTCCTATCTCCATATTTTTGTTAACAGTGAAAATGTGACTTCTTACTAAAGCTCACTATTTGTTATGAACTGTTTTCACTGTTTTTAAAAATGGAAATTACGACAAGAAAGCACTGAGGTCGCGATAGGCTGAGAAGTACACAAAATGACGTACAGACAGATAGCGATACTCAATAAAAATTTCCCCGCTCTAGTTTTGAAATCATGTCTTCTGCCTGGAAATGGAGAAGAGCATTAACTACGACTCCTTACATGTTGCATTTACACGAATGAGGGGGAAAACTTCATTTTCAAAATGGCATCAGTAATGGAATGACGAAAGTTCACAGACTACCTGATTGATAACAGTTTCTACCACTTTGACTATTATGTGGAATAGTATCTTTTCTATTTTCATAATGTCATAATTTGAACCGTATTAAACATTTAATGCAGGTGGTCATGGGGTTATGATCTGTCTGTTTTTCTTGCATTTTGCATTCGCCACATGCCTTAAATTTTTTCGATGTGCTTCATAAAATCTAATTAAAAATAAAGGAATGTTTAGTGAGGTTATATTATGTTGAATGCTTGAACTTCAGATTTTATCTGGGTATGTAGACTCAGGAGTATTAGTTTCAAGAGTTAGTTTCTTTTGTCAAAATGAACGTATCCTTGATTTTTTATTGTTTTTTGGCTTTTTTTCCCCTAACCTTTTTCCATCTCCAAAGCGTAAATGTGTTCCTGTTTGAAAGCATGTTCAACGTCAGAGAGTATTAAAAAAACACCTTGCATTTTTTATTTTGAAGGATATTCACTTGTTATTCATGTCTGAGTCAATCATTGGGTGGTTGACTGGTGCTGTGGTGTGGTTTGCTTCTTCTTCCCTATCAGACATCTATTTCTCCCCCCCCCCGTTCTTTCTTTTTTGTGTTTGTTATAATAATAATAGAATAATAATAATAGAATTTGTATAGCGCATATCCCCGCTCAACTGCAGGCTCTATGCGCTTTACACTATATTATTACCCCAGCAGACCACAGGACACTCCGAAACATTCTCAGCTTCCCGGGAAGCATACAGTGCAAGCAGCTGATTAAGCGCTCAAACACTAACATACTGACAAGATCTTTCGCTGTCTATAGCCGGGTACTCTCTTGTAACACCTCTAATCTTCGGCACTTATATATGACCTTGTTGTGTTGCAAGTACCGTAAAATGCTTACTAAAACAAATAAAATGAGTCAATCGGTCGTCTTATTTTTTTTACCTTTTTGCCAGCTGATCAGCCAACAAAGAAAGAGTTGTGCAAAGTGACGTACAGTGCCACAGATCTGGAACTGCTGCGGAGTGCCATAGAAGATTTGTATTATTTCGAATTTGTAATCGGTAAGTGGGGATTGCATCATCTCTCTGTTTTGCTTAGTTTGAGTTTGTCCTAATTAATTGTGTAAACTTGACAATAAATATGCGTCAGAATAACACTTAGTTACAGTCAGAATACTGAGTATGTATGTAGCGTAAGATTACTATTGTTTATATTAATTACTGTTCATTTATATTATGCATGTGACTGTAAGCCTGCGTGTGTGTGCATGTTTGTGTGTGTGCATGTTTGTGTGTGCGTGTGTGTGTGTATGTGTGTACATGGTGAAACACCAAACCAATGTGCCAGGATCTGGAGAATATAGATGTATCTTATCTTATCTTATCGTATCTAATTTTATCTTATGATTAATGGTGCTTGGAAGCAATAAAACAGCAGACAGTATTTACCAGGCAGTTGGTCACGGATATAATGACAATTAATGTCTTGTTAGTCTGTGTGTAAGAGCATTCTGGGTGGGTGGTTGGTGGGTGCTCTGGTGTGGTTTTCTTCTTCTTTCCTATCAAACATCTATCGTCCTTATCTCCCCTCCTTCTATTTTGTGCTTGTTACTCTCTTGTAACCCCTTTAATCCTCGGCACTGATATGACCTTATTGTGTTGCAAGTGCTGCAAAAACATTCTGGGAGCTTCAAGGCTGTTTTGAACGCGGTCACTTTCTGGGCCCTGACGGATGGGGTCACAGCAGCCTGCCTCCTAAATAACCTGCGAAATGTAGTAGTAGAAATTGTGCGAGATAGCCACCCATTGGCGAGAAAAAAAAGTAGTTGTCTTAGAAAGGTGGAGTGGGTGGTTGGCCGATGCTCTGGTGTGGTTTGCCCTCCTGATCTCTCCTCCTTTTTTATGTTTGTTACTCTCTTGTGACACCTCTAATCTTCGGCACTTATTTGACCTTATTGTGCTGCAAGTACCGTAATACTCTTACTAAAACAAGAGCTTAAAAAAAAAAGACAGGTGGATGTCTTTGGCATTGTCATAATATAGAAAAATTTGTGTGTCTGTGTGGGGGAGGGGGGATTTAGGTCATTTGAACAGGTAACCTGTGTGTGTTTAAGTAGGTTTGATTGTGGTATCGCTGAGAGCATTATAATAAAACATCTATAATTATTACATTTTCACATTTCTCTGCGCCGCCCTCCTGTATTTCAGACGACATCCCGATCCGCGGGTTCATCGGTCACCTGGAAGAAGGCGGCTTTCTGCCTCACAGCCACAAGATCTATCTCTGGGCCCACCTGCACTTCAACATTGAGTACAACGGGGATCACGTGAGTGTCTCAGGAGAGAGTAAAATAAAAGTTGTTCCCGCATCCGATCCGTACATTGGGAATTGTCTTGTTAGTGAGACAACTTCCTGGGCCTTCGACATATTGTGGTAGGGTGGCCAGTTCCTTTCCACGCCGCCTTTACTTCCCCAACTCGAAGTCGGGTACCCATTACTGCTGGGTGGGCAGGAGGGGGGCGGAAAAATTCTGTGTCCGAACCGAGGCTCGAACCCAGACTTTCTGCTTCGGACACGAGCACACTAACTGCTCCGCCACCGCACCCTGGTAGAGAGGTTTAGTTAATATTTTTACGGTCACTTGGCGCAATAATGCAACAGTGAAAGTTATAATAATAATAATAATAATAATAATTGCATTTATATAGCGCATATCCATGCTCAAGAACATGCTCTATGAGCTTTACAACTATTATTACCCCAGCAGACCCTCTGAGAACAGTCAGAAACATTCTTGGCTTCCGCGGAAGCATACAGTGCAAGCTGTGGATTTCACGCTCTCAAACACTATCAAACTCACCCGATTGTTCACTGTCTATAGCCGGGTACCCATTTCCACCTGGGTGAAGTGAGGAAAATTTGTGCAAAGTGCCTTTCCGAAGGACACAGCGTTGGGCCCTTGACGGGATTCGAACCCACGACCTTACGGTTGCAAGACTGAGAGCCTAACCTTAAGGCCACTGACGCCACAATCCATTCCGGTCACCTGGCGCAGTTCTGTGCTAGCCCCGAGAAGTCCGTTCAGTCACTCTCCTTTACTGGGTGACCAGATGGGGTATTTTGTAGTGCTGGCTGTGTGACTGCAAAGTGTTAACTTCAGAGGGGTCAAAGGATGTGAACCCAGTGGGAGTAGGGTTGACCACAACAGCTAGGACTCGTAGTGTGGTCGCTGTCATAACACAGTTACTTTCGAGGGGGATGGGGGGAAGGGGGGGGGGGAAACTTGAGGAAGTAGCAGTTACCTTTGTCAACCTTATGACTTGAGAAAGTGTTAAAATATCTCATGATTATCATTGGGTTTTAAGTTCACGAAACCAAACCCTGCTATGTGGAGGATACGAAATGGCAAAGAGGTATTTTTACTGGTCCAATAACTTGATACTTAAAAAAAAAGATTTATCAGTTTTATTAATGTTCTTTTCTTTGAAGAAAAAGTGGCATTGTTAGGAATGGTGCCCGGGTTGGCCCTACTAGGCAGGGTGGCAGCAGCGTGCTTTCTGAATTATCTATGTTGAGCTGATGGGGGGGGGGGGGCGTACAAAGGTTGACAATCTGTCTTATTTCATTTAAGTGCATAGAGCTTGTTGTTGAGCGGGGATATGCGCTATACAAATGCTATTTATTATTTATTTATTTTTTATTTTTTCAGATCATCTATGCTAATGTGACCACAAAAGAACAGCTGCCGATATCGCTGGACGGGGCTTCTACCCCTATGGAGTTGGCCTTCACGTACAGTGTCAAATGGGTGTCCACCGAGTAAGGCTCGTTCTTCTTTCACTAACTGTTCCTGTAACCTTTTGAGCCCCAGATCCTAATGCTATTAACCCTTATCTGTACGCCCTGGGGTCATTTTGTACCCCCGGTGTTGTATTCTTCACATTTTAGAATACTTCTAGTACGAACATCTCTTTGAAACTTTCAGTATTTCTCAAGAAATCATTTTGACAGACTGCTATGCAAAGCGTACGGATCGGATTAATAAGTAGGTTTCACCTTCGGAAAGTGGTGGCAGGGAGTTCCTCACGTCGTGTGGATACAATAGTGAAACACGACTAATGGATAGGGTTAATTTTACTGAAATCCTGGCCTCCAGAGGTTCCGGGTTTAGGGAGAGAGCACTTCTTTGTTGAAAAAAAAAAACCCTTGGCAAATGAGCACAAAATGTGATCAAAACATGTTTGAAACTATTTAAGCCCCGGATCCGTAATCTTAATTTAATCCAAATCCCGGCCTCCTGAACTTCTGAGTTCAGGGAAAGAATGCTCATCATTAAAAAACTCAGTTAAATATCAGCACAGAATGTGATAAAAACATGTGTGAAAAGGTGCTGCTGACATGTTGGTACATTAGTATGTTGACAGAAACTAATTTTCTGATAGACAGAAAATTACTAACTCGGTCCGACGTTGTGTCCTTGGGAAAGACACTTTACCCGAATTTCCCATTTGGCTCGGTCCTTTCGGAGACGGATGTTAAACTAGGAGGCCTCACCTCTTAAATAACCTAATAGTGTTGCTAGGGGCGTTAAACCCATACCATTTCACCATTTTCAGAAAATTACTGCCCTTTTTCTGCCTAATAAATCTGTGCTCTCTTTCTTTTTTCCCAGCCCTAAATGACCATTATTGTGTCGATCTCCTTCTCTTTACTCAAACAAACGAACAAACAAACACATGTTTCGAAGTGGATATAGGTGGCTGGCGGGTGCACTAGTGTGGTTTGCTCCTTCTTTTCTATCAAACTACTATCGTCCGTATCTCTCCTTTTTTGTGTGTGTTTGTTACTCTCTTGTTCTTGTACCGCCTGTCATCTTCGGCACTTATATGACTGATCTAATTGTGTTGTAAGTGCTGTAAAATACTTACTAAAACATCATAGTGAATTTTTTTTATTATGCTTGTTATGTGATTTGACATTTTTTATTTTTTTGTTTCAGTTTGAAATATGAGAACAGAGGCCTTCGGCTGAGGGATAATGCATTTTTCCCCAAGAATTTGGAGGTAATTAAACTATTTCCCGAACAATAATGATGCTTTGCCTGTCTTCTAGGATTGCACTATTTTTGTTATGTGGCTCTTGTGGTTCTAAAAAAGCTCGTTTTACAAAAATACTCGTGTGGGCGATTGGCAGGTGCTCTGGTGTGGCTTGCTCCTTCTTTCCAATCAACCATCTATCGTCGGTATATTTCTCCTCCTTGTTTTCTTTATATATTACTCTTTAGTAATTCTTTTAATCTTCTGCACTTATGTTTCCTATTTACTTCAACGTAAAGCAAAGATTTGGCCTGAGAATTGTCTGTGGTTTGCTCCTTCTTTCTTATCAAACATCTATCGTCTTTATCTCCCTTCCTTCTTTTTTGTGTTTGCTACTCCTTTATAACGCCTCTAATCTTCTGGCGCTCATATGACCTTATTGTGTTGCAAGTGCCGTAAAATACCTACTAAAACTAACATGTTGAGATAGGTCATTATTTCCCCTTTATTTTCATATATATGATACATGTGGCTAATATTTCTATTTCTCTCTCTCTCTCCCTCCCCAGATCCACTGGCTGTCAATCATCAACTCGCTGGTCCTCGTCTTCCTCCTCATCGGCTTTGTCGTCATCATCATGGTGGGTGACTGGACTTTTTTCCTGTTTTGTTCTGTCCGTCTTTGTTGTCTCATTATAGTTTAGATACACATAAGATAAGATAAGATACATCTTTATTGTCCAGATCCTGGCACATTGGTTTTGGTGTTTCACCTCGTGTACACACACACACACACTAACACACACACACACACGCACACACACACACACACACACACGCGTGCACACACACACTCACACACACACACACAAACACACGTACACAGAAATCAGCAACCGACCATGTTGGATGTTTATGACACTGCTGAATCTTAACTTTAATTGTTCATCCTGAAGAGAACCAAATTAATGAATTCAAACAAGGAGACGTAACTACGGCAGTTAATGATAGTGAATCAAACACAGTTATTGCTCATTTAACATATATTACAGGGATATATTACCCTGTCTTTGTTGTCTTCAACAACAGTTTGGTGAATGAAGGTTCAGACTTCGCATTTTTAAAGGCACACATCTTATTTGTGACGCAGTGTGGTGAAATCAGGCGCTTGTAAAAATAATGCAATCGAAGAAATAGGCATTTTTCTGCATGTTTGGCAATTATCGTTTTTGTCCTTGTTGTATGATTGTATGTAGCAACTTGATGATATAAACTACTTGTAGTGAATAAGGTTCTCAGTAGCCTTTTGGTCATACATATTTACCGGCTATTTCATTTTCCCCTCAGACTCGTGTGCTCAAGAGTGACTTTGCCCGCTACAACATCGAAGACGAGGAGGATGCGGATGACCTAGATTCAGATGACAATGGCTGGAAAATTATCCGCACTGATGTCTTCAGATATCCGCCCAATAAAAATCTGTTCTGTGCAATCCTAGGTGAGCTGGATTATCTTTTCTGTTGATGGTTGTGTTGTTGTCATAGATGGTTCTAAGTTTTTATTGATGTTCCTTGTGTTTTTGTTTGTGGGGATATTTATATGAGCGAGATGAATCATCATTTCCACTTTTTGTCATGAACTAAGTCAATGGCTGTTTTAGTAAACACATGATATGGTCCCTTTTAAGGACAAGCGGGCTAACCCAGATTTCGGGGCATTCCAAAAATCTTGATCTACACCGAAAGTGGTCATTGCCCTACCTATAGGAGAAGTTTGGTTTCATTAGTGTGTATATTTGTTTGGTTATAGAGAAAACTCTCCTTGTCTTTTAAAGAAACTGAACAAGGGGCCAGAACTTTACCTTCGGTTTTCTCAAAACAGCATTTTTTGGGATAGCCCCCTTGTACTTAACAATGACCAAATAGTTTCTTGGAAATTTTTCAGCGTGCATGATAAAATCTCAAATTCAAATAATGAAGTACCTGCAAAAGTTATCCCAAAGTATTTCTGTGCTATTTCTAATGCGGGCTGACTTCTTGTCTTTTATTGTTTCATTGACAACCTGCAGTTCAACCCTGACAATAGTTCGTGAATCAAAGAAAAAAAGTTGACCTATTTCTTCCCAGGTCACAGTTGGGGCATAACACCTACGTAGGTGGTTGGTGGGTGCTCTGGTGTGGTTTGCTCCTTCTTTACTATCAAACATTTATCGTCCTCATCTCTCCTTCTTCTCTTATTTGTACGTTGCTCTCTAATATCACGTCTTATCGTTGGCACTTATGTTATGACCTTATTGTGTTGCAAGTGCTGTAATTAAAACTGTTACTAAAACTAAAACCAATTAACACCAAAGATATGTTATTCTTTTTGTGTGGGAGGTTGGCGGGTTCTCTGTGTGGTTTGCTCCTTCTTTCCTGTAGTCCTGATCTCTCCTACTTCTTTTCTGTGTTTGTTACTCTCTTGTAACGCCTCTAATCTTCGGCACTTATATGACGTTATTATTGTGTTGCAAGTGCCGTAAAATTATTACTTTTTAAAAAAATTAAAAATTTGTTTTCTTTTTGTTTCCAATGTAAAGGTGTGGGAAGTCAGTTCCTGGCACTGGCCACGGGCATTTTGCTGATGGCGATGGCCGGCATGTTCAACGTCCACCGTCACGGGGCTATCAACGCCGCTGCTGTGGTTCTCTACGCCTTCACCTCCAGTAAGTTCCTGTGTAGCTTTCTCTCTTGCCCCCCACCAGGGCAGTGCTACTGACTGAAGTTGTCTTAGGCCATTCCCAAAGGGGGGGATATTAACATGTTCCTATGCACAGTAGAATTGTAAATGGGCTGATTCATCAATGTCATGCTCATACTGTGCTGGAACAACATAGTGGGAACTGCTGCTTTTCCTTTCCTCATCTTTACTATCGTCATTTTCCTCTACTTCTCTTGTGTTTGTCACTCTCTTGTGAACTGCTATTTTCGGGGTGCCTTGATAGCCGAAGCAGACTTTGTGCTGTTGAGGCTAGAGAGGTGAGCAGAGTAAGCCTGATTCCCTATTTGGACTTCTCTGTTGACATCCACCCCTTGGCGCTCACATGACCTTATGCAGTGAGCGCCGTAAAACCTTACTAAAACTAAACTGAGGCATGTCTGTAGTAGTAGTAGTCGTCTGCTGTTTATTGTGATGAATGTGCATCTTATGAAACCGTTAAACACTAGACTAGGAAGCTCAAATGTGGCACCCTATCTGTTTTTGATGGTGTTTCAGACTTGTGGTCGTTGGTGCCTGCTCCAGGCCAGAGACCTTCCTGAAGGAGGAGGAATTAGATTTATAATATCTAGGTCAGTTATTTAGTCATATGTATGACGTTAACTTCTGCTTAGTGCAATGTCTACAATATGGCAATATGGATATGGACGCTCATCTGGTGTTAACAGCTTATTTCATATTTTAAAAAAAGAAACACTCGACATTCGGGTAAGAACTAAGATCGGTTGCGCACTCTACGGATCCACAAAAAGCTCTGCGCGATCAACCGATCTAGTACAGAATGTGCAACAATTGATGGATTACTGTACGTTCCATGGAACCGCAAAATGCGCTGTGCGATCCACCGATCGCGTAAATAGACAGAATGCGCCTAACATCGTCATCATCATGTTTTTAGATGGCATGGTGTTTTTTGTTGTTGTTTTTTGTGTGAACTTTTAAAATGTTCCTAAACAATGCACCGCTGTATTTAGAAATGAACTGAAGTTTAAATTCTTTCCTTCTTTTTTTTTTTTTTAAACAACGCAGGTATCAGTGGCTATGTGGCTGCCAACATGTTCAAGAAAATGGGCGGCGATGGCTGGGTGTGGAACATCAACCTCACGTCTGCTCTCTTTGCTGGTAGGTCGGGGGGTTTGTTCAAGATTAATAAAAAAAAAAAAATGATTATTACTCTCTTGCAACACTTCAAATGTTTGGCGCTTGCATGACCTGATTGTGTTACTTTCCTGTGACACTTCTAATACTGTATTATAATTGTCGGCACTTATGGCCTAATTGTGTTGCAAGTGCTGTATAACTCGTATATACTAAAACAAAAAAAATATGATGTAATTGTGTTGCCAGTGCCGTAAAACACTTTCTAGAGCCACAAATGCTTATATGCTAAAACAAAAAAATATGATGTAATTGTGTTGCAAGTGGTGTAAAAACTCTTAATATCTTAATAAAACAACAAACTTTTATATACTTTAACCAAAAAATATGATGTAATTGTGTTGCAAGTGCTGTAAAACTCCTGATAAAACAACAAACTTTTATATACTAAAACAAAAAAATGTGATGTAATTGTGTTGTAAGTGCTGTAAAACTCTCAATAAAAAACAAACTTTTATATACTTTAACCAAAAAATATGATGTAATTGTGTTGCTAGTGTGTGTAATGGTGTTACATGTGCTGTAAAACTTTTACTAAAAAATCAAGAAAAGACTGATCTCTGTGTGTGTCCCCAGCTCCGTTCTTCATGGTATGGGCTGTGATCAACTCAGTGGCGTGGGGCTACGGCACAACACGCGCTCTGCCCTGGACAACTGTGGTGCTGCTGATGGCTCTATGGGTCTTTGGTGAGGGCTGTGTGTTTGGTGTTTGTGTGTGTGTGTGGG